GGCGCTCTTTGGTGGCCACGTACCTTAAAGAAACCAATGAAAAAAAAATATTCCATTAAATATACAAATAAATGATTGATTCTGCATTTGTTATCAAATATGTATCAAGGAAATAATGTTGTGTATATTAAAATTAAACAAAGCTAATCAATTAATGAAATGAGCATGCGTTATAATGCAACAAAAAGTTTTCAGATATTTGCATTTGCTGAAATTATTGGTGGGTGCGCAAAGATTCTTCGTTTCTCCTGATCATTCTTATCGCAAAATTGGTGATGCATACAACGAAGTGAACTCAGCAAAAATTTCTTAGCTTTGGAATATATGTGTGTAAATAAATGAATAAATAAATAAGTATTTATGTATGAGCTGGTGGCGCACTGCCCCCAGCCTATGTGTGCTTTTATTAGATACATTTTGAAATTTTGGAAACTTTGAAAGGCCTTTTTCGTGAATGGATCGTAGGTCCTTGAAACTTGCGAGCAGATAGAACGAGTGTGTTTGGCAAATAAGTAATATGAGGGTGGTACACATATCCAAGTATTTAGAACACTTGTAGGTGAAAAAAAGCTGTTGGTACAATATTAGTTTCACTCAATTTCCAGCACCTTGTATGTAGTTACATGGCTGATAAGAGTTGCTCAACTGCATAGTGCTGAAAAGCACTTTAACAAAGAGGAATTATATTGACCAAGCCATCTCTCTGGGATACCGTGACGATTATATAGCAGGTTTACAGTTATCCGTTAATTATCGATATTAGTCCTGAAAGCGATGGAAAGTTCAATTAGAATTAGTGTTCTCTTCATTATTTACCCTTTTACGATCGGCAATGGATACACCCCGCTGAATACGGTTAATAGGGCGAACATTTTAGAGAACACTTTCTACAACTTCCTTTACTTCTCAACACTCTACTTCATATTAGCTAGCGTCTCATTACGTTCATTTAACTGTATGTGAGTTAGTTAGGTTGAAGTGACTGCCGGTGGGCTCACCAGCACACTTAGGCTCACCATAGGGCCCGCTCAGGTACCACTAGGGATCTCGCGTGTGGAGTTGGCAATTTGAGCAATCACCGCATCTTTAAGCCCGCTAAATCGCTAGGATCTCCAATTGTTCCAGCACCTATGAGCCTTAGTCTAATCCTTTCCAGTGCAGGAACTTCGCAAAGTAGGTGCCTTGCTCTTACTGATTCAGGCTCCTAATCGTCTCTGTGGTTAAACGGCACCCCAAGTCTTTCCGCGTGCCTACCTAGAGTGATTTAATCGGTCATAAGTCCTGTACCGAAAGAGATCTATCGTCTGCTCAGCATGAGGTGATCCTCGATTTCGCATGTTTGCAGCTGTCTCCGCCTTTCGCCTGCTTCGAAGAAGAAGAATACCTGAATATTGAACTTGCAGGTTGCGAGCCACATGCCCTGCCTCTTCTATGACGGTTAAAGTGAAAGGGAAGTGCTCTTCCTTGTAGGCTCATCCGTCATTTCATTACCTGATATACCTATGTGTCCCAGTAGCTATAGCAGGTGAACTGCTCTGCCATCACGTTAAGGAGATCTGCGGCAACTCACTACAGTTCCCGAGTTGTGTGTGACAGAATCCAGAGCTTTTAAACCCGCTGGGCTGTCTGTGAAACTGTAGATATTATTGCATCCTATTACTTCTGTCCATAAGCATACGGCAGCTCCCTGTATGCCCGGGTATGTGATTAGCTTATTACAGTAATCAAAACCACAATAGAATAAATAAGAATTTAAGTTTCTTCAGCTTACCGTAAGCTGACAATAACTAATGCAAAACCGTGCTACGAAGGATTACAAAAACTAGTGCTTCGAAGCAAAGGTTTTCTGTTCATCGCTCCGCTGTTAACTTCTGCAATTTTACTTCGCTCCGAGCTATTTTTAACCGACTTCAAAAAAAGGAGGAGGTTATCAATTCGTCGAAATATTTTTTTTATGTATGTTACCATAAACTTTGAAGCACGTGAACCGATTTCGATCATTCTTTTTTTATCAGAAAGGTGGTGTACCTCAAGGTGGATCATGAAGAAATCAAGAAAGACTTAGATAGACAACTACATACATTGGAGTTATGAGTGGTATGTGTTGTCTCTCAGAATTATAAAGAAAAGTTTCTAGGACCCCTTATTTCAGAATTTTTGAAGCCATATTCTCCAATTGAACTTCTCTTAAAAGGGGAAAATTAAAATTAACTAATAATGACGCAGTTATAGCTTAATTCCGCATCAGACAAGCACCAACACGTTTCCCTTGCTTTGGAAACACATATTCCCGTATACTTTCGAATGGTAAGGCTATAAGTAGATTTTCTGATAAAGCTTTTAATGGGAAGGTTTACCGAAAAGAGCTCTGCCTGAAAGCATTTGGATGCACATATTCTGAGCATATTAAACATCCAGATCTTATTGTTAAACCCCACAAGAGAGCTACATAGGTTGCGGGAATTAGAAATCTTCATCTACTCTGGCTTCAAAATAAAAGACAAGTTTAGGAATACAACCTTTATCCGAGACTGGGAAGTTAATTACCATCCTAAATATCGAAGGTCCTCTCCAACAACGGCACCGCTCAAAACTAAAAAAAAAAATCCAAAGAGAAATCATTATTTTGCGATTTACGTTTTATTTGATCTGAGGCATTTTTTAACCAAACTAGCCAAGCGTGTAAGTCAAATGCTAAAAGGACTCCTATTAACGATGTTTTAAGTTTTATTATGATATATATGTAATCTCTTCTGTGTGGCGGAATTATGCGTTCATACATCCAAATATATGTGAAATAGCATTTATGATGAGGAATAACAGTAAAACTCGCTATGCATAAACGAAAATGTCTCTTTAAAATAATTAAAAAGCTTTAAAAAAGACACGAAAATGACAACGAAGTGCGCTCAAGTGACACCAAGTCAGTCACCAGCAACAACACCCCAATAAACCTTGCAAATGCATGCGTTTGAAGAAAAGAAAATAAATTGGTGACAAAACAGCAAAAGCATTGCAACAGCGACAGCAATCATTTAAACATTTACTGCGTGCAACATTGCGTGGCAAAAGTAATTTTCTTCAATAATTGAAGCCCGCGCATCCAAGTAACCATAAGAAATTTAGTCTTGCATGTGGAGCGATTGCGGTTAGATCGTGAAATTTTTGGCTTTCATATACTAGGCTAGCAGCCGGAGGACTGTAGAAGAAAATTTAAAAATGCGCTGTACAAAAATTGGTTGCTTGCAAATCCTTTGCCTTATACTCCTTGTCCGTGCAAGCGAGCACAACGAACCGACGAAGCAGCTGAACAAACGCGGCGTTGCGGAAAATCTTGGCCAGGGTTTAAAGTTCGCAGGTCAAATGTTTGGTAAATCTATTCGGTAATAAAAGTAAGCAATTTTCTTAAAAAAAAAAAATTCTACACGCAGGCATCAACACAGCCGCCGATGTGGCAAATCTAGTGGCGATGGCATTTGGCAATAAGAAGCCAGACTTGATGTCACTATTTCAGCAGAAGCAAACCAACGCGGCTGAGGCTGATAGTGAATCGGATGCATCGCAACAGGACACAGGCTCGCAGGAGCAGCAGCCATCGAATGTAAAGCACAGGCATCGTTACAAACAACAGCAGCAGCAGCAGCAACAACAAGAGACGGATGAGAGTGACGAGCAGTCAAGAGAACCGCTCAGTAATTCAGAATTCAGCACCAGTCGATTCGTTACAGGCGTATTGCGCATGATTGGCTTCGACGCTACCAAATTGGGTGCACTGGCAATAAATGCATTAATTATGATTGCGCAGGCGGTAAGTAGCATTCGCTCCCTTAAATTATACTTCACCATACATACTGCCTTCTATTATTTCTTAATGAGTTTAGATTGGTAATGCATTTACGGCGCCAACACGTACCAGCGCTGGCTACACACCATCCCCGACGACACCGTACGATGACGGGGACGAAGGCGTGCCAGAAGCCCAACGGAATGGGGAGCAGGAGGCACATCAACCGCGTGCCTTACGCGAGGGTACGCCAATCGATTGGTATCTAGAGAATCCGAATGAGGGTATGCGTCGCACCTTGAACGATGCATTGGATACGCAACTAACAGAGCGCATCACTGAAATGATTGAGAATGTGGAGCAGCAAGAGGGTCAACAGGCTGGTTGCATTAAGTTGTTGATGTGTAAGAGTTCGCCAATTATTTGGGGCATGCAACGTTCGGTGAGTGAACGCGTAACGGGCAAGGCGACGACGGACAACACAGTGGAAGATAATGCGGAGGGGAAAAAGAAGGCGAAACCGAAAAAACTATTTTCCACTGACGTGTTTTTTGCGCATTTTCCCACACTTGAGGAGTTTCGCGAGCATGGCGCTATCTGTGAGGAACGCTTCGGCAAGCAATGCAATGTCGACGAGAATGATGATACAGCGGAGACAAAAGAGAAAAAACCAAAGTAGTAATGAGCGTGTAGTACTCGAAAGTTTCAGAAAAATTAAAGCTTGTCTGTAGAGTAAAAGAGCCGACGCGAAAAAGTGGTATTCTTCAATGTAAATACCAAGAAACTCAACAAAAATAAAAAAAATTGCTTATTTATGTGATTTTTCCATAGAACTTTTGTGTTGCAAATTTAGACGATTTCTGGTTATTTATGAAGACATGNATGTAAATACCAAGAAACTCAACAAAAATAAAAAAAATTGCTTATTTATGTGATTTTTCCATAGAACTTTTGTGTTGCAAATTTAGACGATTTCTGGTTATTTATGAAGACATGCTGTAGATTTTATTAAAAGAAGTGCGAGAGATCTATAAGATTGACAAGCCTTTTGGGTTCGGCGATAACATATGTAGAAGCGGTTTTATTGGCTGTTAATCTACATTATAGAGTATTGCACAGCGCATTGAAGATAGCGGTAACAATATCAATACCGATAACGATAACAAAATCTAGAACGATAATTATATGTATGTATATGTATTACAACGATTACAATATCTATAACGATAACAACATCTATAACGATAACAATATCGATAACGACAACAATATCGATACCAATAACAATATCGATAACGATAACTAACTTAGACGCTGTTTCACTCAAAGTGTAGAGAAGTCAGCGTGGTAGGCATGCACGCACGGTCAGCGAAATCGAGTTTTTTTTTAGCTCCGCCTTAAAAATATCAACAAAAGATTTGACCAAAGAAAATTGGCCACGTAAGCGTAAAAAAAAGAATGGAACGCCACACACAAAAAGTATTTAAATAGGGAATTTTAGGAGGGAAATTGTTTTAGGGTAATTTTTAAGGGATAAGTTTTTAAGTGGTTGGTAATACTGCCTCTAAGTTCTTGAAGCCCTCGTCTGGGCGCATGTACCAGCTGTTAAGCGCAATTTGGTCTGAGAATACACATACGAAGATTGCAATCTCAGCCTCCTATGTCTAACCCCCAAAAACGGAGATCCTTCCATTTTTGCCCCAACTACCGCGGGATAAGTCTTTTTAACTTTGGCTAATTGATTGGAACTTATCATCGTCCAGATTTTCGCAGCATGTTAAAACCTGTGGAAGACACTACATATACATACCTCCCGTAAAAATAATACGGCTATGTAAAATGACGTTGAACACAACTTTAATCTCTACAAGATGACTTACTGTCGTGTTATTCCTTTACTCTGACTAAATAAGACCGTCATAGCTTAAAGAACACAAATAACACCTGTCACGAAATAACACACGAAAGCAGGACAAAGTACCACTTAAAAACACACAAAGATCATTCCGATATTTGGACACATCTCTAATGGCGCCCGTCCTTTTATATATAGAGCAAAAACATGGACAAAGTCGGGCAAAGATGAGAAGGCTTTGAGTATTTAGAGGGAACGATATTATGCAAAATCTATGGCGCTGCTGGATAAATATGTATACTAGTTG